AATTGCAAAATCCCAACTCGTAAAACTAAAACATCATAAAACTAAGAAATCGAAAAATTAAGAAATCGAAGCACTGAATAAACAAGAATCGATCGAAAAGTCAAAAAACAGGACTCAAAAATAAAAAAAAATGAATAAACGAAAAACTGAAGAAATGAAAAACGGAAAAATTGAAACATTTAAAAGTGGAAAAATCGAAAAATGGGAAAATCAAAAAACTGAAAATTTAGGAACGTCAAAAATTGAAAAACCGAAAAATCTAATAAAAAATTAAAAATCGTAAAACTGAAACATTAGAAAACTGAAAAATCGAAAAATCGAAAATTGGAAAAATCGCGAAATTTAGAAATAGAAAAATTGAAAATCCCAACTCTGAAACTTCGAAAAATTAAGAAACCGAAAAGCTGAATAAACGAAACACCGAAGAATTGAAAAACTGAAAAAAGAAAAATCGAAACATTTAAAAGTCGAAAAATAGGAAAATCAAAAACTTGAAAATTTAGAACGTCAAAAATTGAAAAACTGAAAAATTTAAAAACCTAAAAATTGAAAAATCGTAAAACTGAAACATCGAAAAGACGAGAAACCGAAAATTTGAAGAATCCAGAAATTCAGGAATAAAAAAATTGCAAAATCCCAACATTGAAATATTGGAAAGTTGAAAATCGATGAAATCGAAAAATTGAAAAATCCCAAAACTGACGAGCTGATGACGATGAGTAATCGTAATCATACATAATATAAAGAAATCAAAAAACTGAATAAATAAGAAATCGAAAAATCGAAAAATGGGAGTCCAAAATCTAAATATTCAAAAAATCAATTGAATAATCGAAAAACTGAAAAAAGAAAAATCAAAACATTTAAATAAAAAAATCGATTAATGGAGAAATTGACAAATCGAAAAGTCGAAAAATTTAGAAACGTTAAAAACTGAAAAAACGAAAAATTTAAATGCTTAAAAACTGAAAATCGTAAAACTGTAACATCGGAAAACTGAGAAATCGAAAACAGAAAAATCGAAAAATCGAAAATTTGAAGACTCGAGAAATGAAGGAATAGAAAAATTGCAAAATCCCATCTCGTAAAACTGAAACATCATAAAACTAAGAAATCGAAAAACTGATAAATCGAAGCACTGAATAAACAAGAAGCGATCGAAAAGTCAAAAAACGGGAGTCAAAAATAAAAAAAAATGAATAAACGAAAAACTGAAGAATTGAGAAACTGAAAAATTGAAACATTTAAAAGTAGAAAAATCGAAAAATGGGAAAATCAAAAAACTGAAAATTGAAGAAATGGAAAAATCGAAAATTTGAAAAATCGAGAAATTTAGAAATAGAAAAATTGCAAAATCCCAACTCTGAATCTTCGAAAAATTAAGAAACCGAAAAACTGAGGAATTGAAAAACTGAAAAATTTAAAAACCTAAAAATTGAAAAATCCTAAAACTGAAACATCGAAAAAACGAGAAATCTAAAATTTGAAGAATCCAGAATTTCAGGAACAAAAAAAATTACAAAATCCCAACATTGAAATATTGAAAAATTGAAAATCGATGAAATCGAAAAATTGAAAAATCAATCGAAAAACAGAAAAAAGAGAAATCGAAATATTTAAATAAAAAAATTAATAAAAATAAAAGTCGAAAAATCGAAAAATGGAAAAATAAAAAAATCGATTAATCGAGAAATTGCGAAATCGAAAAGTCGATAATTTAGGAACGTTAAAAATTGAAAAAATTCAAATGCCAAAAAATTGCAAAATCGTAAAATTGTACCCATCGGAAAACTGAGAAATCGAAAACAGAAATATTCGTAAAATCGAAAATTTGAAGAATCGAGAAAAATCCGGAAACGAAAAATTGCAAAATCCCAAAACTGATCAGCGATGAAACATCGAAAAATTAAGAAACTGAAAAGTGAATAAATGAGAAATCAAGAAGTCGAAAAACGGGCGTCAAAAATTGAAAAATTTTAAAAATCATCAAATGGACAATTGAAAAACTGAAAAATTTAAACATCGCAAAACTAGGGAAATCGAAAACAGAAAAAATCGAAAAATCGAAAATTTGAAGAATTGAGAAATAAAGGAATAGAAAAATTGCAAAATCTCATCTCGTAAAACTGAAACATCATAAAACTAAGAATTCGAAAAATTGATAAATCGAAGCACTGAATAAACAAGAATCGATCGAAAAGTCAAAAAACGGGAGTCAAAAAAGAAAAAAATGAATAAACGAAAAACTGAAGAATTGAGAAACTGAAAAATTGAAACATTTAAAAGTAGAAAAATCGAAAAATGGGAAAATAAAAAAACTGAAAATTTTGAAACGTCAAAAATTGAAAAACCGAAAAATGAAGAAATGGAAAAATCGAAAATTTGAAAAACTGAAAAAAGAAAAATCGAAACATTTAAAAGTCGAAAAATAGGAAAATCAAATAATTGATAATTTGGAACGTCAAAAATTGAAAAACTGAAAAATTTAAAAACCTAAACATTGAAAAATCCTAAAACTGAAACATCGAAAAAACGAGAAATGGAAAATTTGAAGAATCCAGAATTTCAGGAACAAAAAAAATTACAAAATCCCAACATTGAAATATTGAAAAATTGAAAATCGATGAAATCGAAAAATTGAAAAATCAATCGAAAAACAGAAAAAAGAGAAATCGAAATATTTAAATAAAAAAATTAATAAAAATAAAAGTCGAAAAATCGAAAAATGGAAAAATAAAATCAATCGAAAAACAGAAAAAAGAAAAATTGAAATATTTAAATAAAAAAATTAATAAAAACAAAAGTCGAAAAATGGAAAAATAAAAAAATCGATTAATCGAGAAATTGCGAAATCGAAAAGTCGATAATTTAGGAACGTTAAAAATTGAAAAAATTCAAATGCCAAAAAATTGCAAAATCGTAAAATTGTACCCATCGGAAAACTGAGAAATCGAAAACAGAAATATTCGTAAAATCGAAAATTTGAAGAATCGAGAAAAATCCGGAAACGAAAAATTGCAAAATTCCAAAATTGATCAGCGATGAAACATCGAAAAATTAAGAAACTGAAAAGTGAATAAATAAGAAATCAAGAAGTCGAAAAACGGGCGTCAAAAATTGAAAAATTTTAAAAATCATCAAATGGACAATTGAAAAACTGAAAAATTTAAACATCGCAAAACTAGGGAAATCGAAAACAGAAAAAATCGAAAAATCGAAAATTTGAAGAATTGAGAAATAAAGGAATAGAAAAATTGCAAAATCTCATCTCGTAAAACTGAAACATCATAAAACTAAGAATTCGAAAAATTGATAAATCGAAGCACTGAATAAACAAGAATCGATCGAAAAGTCAAAAAACGGGAGTCAAAAAAGAAAAAAATGAATAAACGAAAAACTGAAGAATTGAGAAACTGAAAAATTGAAACATTTAAAAGTAGAAAAATCGAAAAATGGGAAAATCAAAAAACTGAAAATTTTGAAACGTCAAAAATTGAAAAACCGAAAAATGAAGAAATGGAAAAATCGAAAATTTGAAAAATCGAGAAATTTAGAAATAGAAAAATTGCAAAATCCCAACTCTGAATCTTCGAAAAATTAAGAAACCGAAAAACTGAGGAATTGAAAAACTGAAAAAAGAAAAATCGAAACATTTAAAAGTCGAAAAATGGGAAAATCAAAAAATTGAAAATTTAGAACGCCAAAAATTGAAAAATCCTAAAACTGAAACATCGAAAAAACGAGAAATCTAAAATTTGAAGAATCCAGAAATTCACGAATAAGAAAAAATTGCAAAATCCCAACATTGAAATATTGAAAAATTAAAAATCGATGAAATCGAAAAATTGAAAAATCAATCGAAAAACAGAAAAAAGAGAAATCGAAATATTTAAATAAAAAAATTAATAAAAATAAAAGTCGAAAAATCCAAAAATGGGAAAATAAAAAAATCGATTAATCGAGAAATTGCGAAATCGAAAAGTCGATAATTTAGGAACGTTAAAAATTGAAAAAATTCAAATGCCAAAAAATTGCAAATTCGTAAAATTGTACCCATCGGAAAATTGAGAAATCGAAAACAGAAATATTCGTAAAATCAAAAATTTGAAGAAACGAGAAAAATCCGGAAACGAAAAATTGCAAAATCCCAAAATTGATGAAACATCGAAAAATTAAGAAACTGAAAAGTGAATAAATCAAGAAGTCGAAAAACGGGCGTCAAAAATTGAAAAATTTAAAAAATCATCAAATGGACAATTGAATAACTGAAAAATTTAAACATCGGAATACTGAGAAATCGAAAACAGAAAAAATCGAAAATTTGAAGAATCGAGAAACTAAGGAATAGAAAAATTGCAAAATCCCAACACTGAAATATCGAAAATTTTAGGACGATGTTACTTTTTAACATTTAAATAACATTTATTCCACAAAATGGTAAGATGACATCATCTCATCAATTTCTTGGGTAGAGGTAGGGACATGTGGATGCCCAAGGTAAAAAAAACAAGACGGATTCAGAAACCACAAATGGAGTACGTTATTTTATAAAATTAACATGACATTATAATTACCACACAATTTGTCAACAATCGGTCTGGTAGTTTCGGTGACTATCTGCCTAATAAAAATTCGGACACACGACAGCAGACACGACACGCGGAAATGGGAGACTTATTTTTGTACCTAGGGGTCATGAAACGTCGAGAAAACATCAAAGTAGCCGGTATTAAAATTAAGAAGTAAAGTGTCATAAATGTCACAGAATTAACAGTGTGGCCAACGTAAAATACAATTATTTTTGACCAACCCACAAAAAAACTATCCTATTTTTCTGATCTAGATAGCTTCTATTGTTGTTATGATTTATTGCGCCATCTGGAGGTTTCTTTTACACTAGAGTTGCGCTTTGTACAGCAGCGCCTTTACCGCTCAGCAGTTCGCTTAAGCCGCGTGAATTTCCCAATTAACGTTTCGTTTAGTTTAAGGTCGCTACCAACCTGCAGACATTCGGCAGCCTTGAGGAAACTCGAGAGGCAGTCCTGCGACACGTGGACTTCCCCCTTGTACATGAACTCCAGCAGCGCCGACATGTTGGAAGCCGAAGTCCCATCCAGGATGATGATGAGGTTCTGGTGGGGCGGCGACGTCTCGAACAGGTCCGCCAGGTGCTTACTGCATGCTGCCAGGATCAGCTTGTGGGCCTTAAACGTCACTCCTGCAACAACCGCCATCAGCGCCGAAGCGACCCCTCGCGCCACTCACCGTCACAAAACAACGTCACGTCGGCCAAAGTTTCCGATTTGAAGAGGTTGCTGAACGACGTTGCAAGATTTGTACCAAAACTGTTCCATTTCAAACAGAATTGTTGTTGCTGAGAGTCCATCTCAACACCAGAATGGAAAATATTATGAGCTGCAAGAGAAAATTCGGATGAGTTCGAATTCCGGGCGCCTTGGCGGCTAGGTGGCGCTGCGGCCGGTGCGTGCATAAATGGGCCAAGGAAGACAATGTGTAATTACGCATATCGCAATCGATGCACCACATCTAGTGGCCTCCGTTAGAATAGCGCGCGATTGTCTTTTGTCGCCGCTCCACGCCACCGCGATCAGATCGACCGACCAGAAATTGTGGGAACGGTGGAAGAGAAAAAAACAAAAAGTGACGAAACGAAACGGTGACGCAGTTCGAACTTGGTAGAGCCGACCGAGCACTGCAAGCCATGGCCAACCAGGATGCAGATAGGCAAAGTGTGCTTGCTTGCGCCACTCACTCAACCTTGCGTTGTAATGTTTGGTAACGAGGCAGGGCCGGACCGGCCAGAGATGACGACGAGGAACTCGGGCCCTCGTCTTTGCACAAATGATAATAAAAACTGGTCGAAGTTTATTTACATAATTATTAAATCTGATTCTGCTAACTTTTATTTATGTAACCTTAACATTGAAACAAATTTAGTTAATACCAGTAACTGTGCAAGAAACTACTTTTTATGTATTTGTCTACGACCGAGAAGTTGAAAAATTCTATAACTGAAAAATCAAAAAATTGAAAAATTGATAATAATATTGTCTGTTTCTATTATTATTAATACTAAAAATTACAAAATTGAAAAATCAGAACAATGAAATTCGGATAATTGAAAAATCGGACATCTTAAAAATAAAAAATTGTAAACTAATTAAACTGAAAAATCAAAAACTTGAAAAATTAAAGTTGAAATTTTGAACAATTAAATATCAAAAAATTGAAAAAATTAAAAATTACAAAATTAAAAATTGGATAATTGTGTGGACTCGAAAATTTATGGAACTGTAATAATAAAAATTCCAAAATGATTATAAAAAATCAAGAAATTGAAAAACCTGATATTGAAAAATCCAAAATTGGAAAACTGATTTATTAAAAACTGTTAAGAACTCGAAAAATTGTAAAAATAGAAAAATGAAAAATTAGCAAAATCACAAAACTGAAAAATCGTATAAATTTAAAATCTAAAAAGTTGACGAATCAGACAGTTTTAAAATAGACAGATAACAAAATTGTAAAATTAGTCCAAGATTATTTCGACAGAACTTTCCTCGTCCTTGAAGTGTATCCCAACAAATCCAGTTTCTTTGAAAATTTATAAAAATTGTTTGCGATTTTTGTTCTCTGATAATTTCTATAAAGCAAACAGGAGGATTTTGATGTTTTCAGGATTTGGGGATTTTAGTGTTTTGAGGATTTGGGAATTTTGGTGTTTTGAGGATTTTGATGTTTTGAGGATTTGGGGATTTTGGTGTTTTAAGGATTTTGTTCTTTTGAGGTTTTGTGGATTTTAGTGTTTTGAGGATTTTATTGTTCTGAGGATTTAGGGATTTTACTGTTTTGAGGATTTGGGGATTTTGGCATTTTGAGGATTTTGTTCTTTTGAGGATTTGGGGATTTTAGTGTTTGAGGATTTTGATGTTTCGAGAATTTAGGGATTTTACTGTTTTGAAAAATTGGAGATTTTTTGATTTTGAGAATTTGAAGACATTGGGGTTTTAAGGATTTTAGGATTTTGGTGTTTTGAGGATTTCGTTGTTTTTAGGATTAAAGAATCTTGGTGTTTTGAGGATTTGAGGCTTTTGATATTTTAAGGATTTGGGGATTTTGGTGTTTTGAAGATTTCGGTGTTTGATTTTTTCGATCTTTCAATGTTACAGTTTTTTGACTTCAACATTCTGACGATCCTATAATTCTTCGATTTCACAATTTTTGGATTCGATTTATTTTTTCTTGTTTCCTATTCTTGATTCATTAATTTTTTCGATATGGAGATTTTGGATTTTTAAGGATTTAAGAATTTCGATGTTTTGAGGATTTGGGGATTTTGGTGCTTTGATGTTTTGAGGATTTTGGGATTTCACTGTTTTGAGGATTTGTTGTTTTGGGGATTTTGGTGTCTTGAGGATCTGGGGATTTTAGAATTGAGGATTTGGGGATTTTGGTGTTTTGAGGATTTTGATGTTTTGAGGATTTGGGGATTTTGGTGATTTGAGGATTTGAGAATTTTGGTGCTTTGAGGATTTGATATTGGGGTTTTGTTGAGGTTTTGATGACTTAGGTATTTTTTTGTTTTCAGGATTAGAGAATTTTGGTGTTTTGAGGATTTGAGGATTTTAGAATTTTGGTGTTTTCAGGATTTTGATATTTTCAAGATTTGGGGATTTTGGTGTTTTGAGGATTTGAGGATTTTGATGTTTTTAAGAGTTAAGAATTTTACTGTTTTGAAGATTTTGATGTTTTGAGGATTTGGGGATTTTGGTGTTTTGATGATTTGGGGATTTTAGTGTTTTGAGGATTTGGGGATCTTAGTGTTTTGAGGATTTGGTGATTCTGTTCTTTTTAGGATTTGGGGATTTTAGTGTATTGTGGATTTGAGTATTTTGATCATTTGAGGATTTAGAGATTTTACTGTTCTGAGGATTTGGGGATTTTGGTGTTTTGAGGATTTGATATTGAAGTTTTGTTGAGGTTTTGATGATTTAGGCATTTTTTTGTTTTCAGGATTAGAGAATTTTGGTGTTTTGAGGATTTGAGGATTTTAGAATTTTGGTTTTTTCAGGATTTTGATATTTTTAAGATTTGGGAATTTTGGTGTTTTGAGGATTTGAAGATTTTGATGTTTTTAAGTGTTAAGAATTTTACTGTTTTGAAGATTTTGATGTTTTGAGGATTTGGGGATCTTAGTGTTTTGAGAATTTGGTGATTCTGTTCTTTTAAGGATTTGGGGATTTTAGTGTATTGAGGATTTGAGTATTTTGATCTTTTGAGGATTTGGAGATTTTACTGTTCTGAGGATTTGGGGATTTTGGTGATTTGAGGATTTGAGAATTTTGGTGTTTTGAGGATTTGATATTGGGGTTTTGTTGAGGTTTTGATGATTTAGGTATTTTTTTGTTTTCAGGATTAGAGAATTTTGGTGTTTTGAGGATTTTAGAATTTTGGTGTTTTCAGGATTTTGATATTTTCAAGATTTGGGAATTTTGCTGTTTTGAGGATTTGAGGATTTTTATGTTTTGAAGAGTTAGGAATTTTACTGTTTTGAAGATTTTGATGTTTTGAGGGTTTGGGGATTTTGGTGTTTTGATGATTTGGGGATTTTAGTGTTTTGAGGATTTGGGGATCTTAGTGTTTTGAGGATTTGGTGATTCTGTTCTTTTTAGGATTTGGGGATTTTAGTGTTTTGAGGATTTGGTGATTTTGTTCTTTTAAGGATTTGGGGATTTTAGTGTATTGAGGATTCGAGTATTTTGATCTTTTGAGGATTTAGAGATTTTACTGCTCTGAGGATTTGGGCATTTGTTGTTTTGAGGATTTGGGGATTTTACTGTTTCGAAAATTTGGTGATTTGAGGATTTTGGTGTTTTGAGGATTTCGTTGTTTTTCAAGTCAGGTCAGGTCAGGTCAGCTCAATTCCTAGTATTTTGAGGATCTGAGGATTTTAGAATTTTGGTGTTTTGAAGACTTAAGGATTTTGATGTTCTGAAAATTATGAATTTATTGTTTTGAGGATTTGGGGATTTTTATGTTTTGAGGATTTTGATGTTTTGAGGATTTAAGGATTTTGATGTTTTGAAGATTTAGGGAATTTATTGTTTTGAGGATTTGGGGATTTTAGTGTTTTGAGGATTTGGGGATATTTATGTTTTGAAGATTTAGATGTTTTCAGGATTTGGTAATTTTGTTCTTTTGAGGATTTGGGGATTTTAGTGTAGTGTGGATTTGAGTATTTTGATCTTTTGAGGATTTAGAGATTTTACTGTTCTGAGGATTTGGGGATTTGTTGTTTTAAGGATTTGGTGATTTTACTGTTTCGAGGATTTGGTGATTTGAGGATTTTGGTGTTTTGAGGATTTTGTTGTTTTTCAAGTCAGGTCAGGTCAGGTCAGCTCAAATCCTAGTATTTTGAGGATCTGAGGATTTTAGAATTTTGGTGTTTTGAAGATTTAACGATTTTGATGTTCTGAAAATTTAATGAATTTATTGTTTTGAGGATTTGGGGATTTTTATGTTTTGAGGATTTTGATGTTTTGAGGATTTAAGGATTTTGATGTTTTGAAGATTTAGGGAATTTATTGTTTTGAGGATTTGGGGATTTTAGTGTTTTGAGGATTTGGGGATTTTTATGTTTTGAAGATTTAGATGTTTTGAGGATTTGGTGATTTTGTTCTTTTGAGGATTTGGGGATTTTAGTGTATTGTGGATTTGAGTATTTTGATTTTTTGAGGATTTAGAGATTTTACTGTTCTGAGGATTTGGGGATTTGTTGTTTTAAGGATTTGGGGATTTTACTGTTTCGAGGATTTGGAGATTTTGGTGTTTTGAGGATTTTTTGTTTTTCAGGATTAGAGAATGTTGGTGTTTTGAGGATTTGAGGATTTTGATGTTTTGAAGATTTAGGGATTTTTCTGTTTTCAAGATTTTGATGTTTTGAGGATTTGAGGATTTTGATGTTTTGAGGATTTAGGGGATTCTGCAGCTTTGAAGATTTTGATGTTTTGAGGATTTGGGTAATTTGGTGTTTTGAAAATTTGGGGATTTTAGTGTTTTCAGGATTTGGGGATTTTAGTGTTTTGAGGATCTGGGGATTTTAGTGTTTTGAGGATTTGGGGATTTAGGTATTTTGAGGATTTAGATGTTTTGAGGATTTGGAGATTTTGGTTTTTTGAGGATTTAGAGATTTTACTGTTCTGAGGATTTGAGGATTTTGTGTTTTGAGGATTTGTCGATTTTACTGTTTCGAGGATTTGGGGTTTTTGGTGTTTTGAGGATTTGAGGATTTTCTATTTTTCAATGTTACAGTTTTTTGACTTTATAATTTTGACGATCCTATAATTCTTCGATTTCACAATTTTTGGATTCGATTCGATTTTTCTTGTTTACTA